GTGCTCTCCGGGGAGGGCAGGAAGAGCCCCCGCCCCACCCCTCAGGGCCCACCACAGGGAAGGATGCAGCTCGAGTCCATGAGAATTCACACACATGCTCTCACACACACACACACACACACACACACACACACACACACACACACAGAGTCGGGAGACAGAGGCGGCGCCACACACCCGAGAAGGGAAAGACTCAGAGAAGCGACACACTTGGGTCTGAAGAGCTCTTAAGGAGCTCCCTGAGCCTCGAGGCTGCCCTCTCAGGACCAGAATCAAACACTTTGAAGGTCTTTAACGGGAACAAAGACCACGGACTTCCCATGTGCCATTTAAAGTGAAAGCTACAAACACAGAAAATGAGCATGAAGAAACCCAACAGAGTTCTGACTGTCTGTGATTCTTACCCTGATGCTTCGAAAAACGATGTATAGATGGGCGCACCCACGTTTTTTGTGGCCCTGGTTTGCTGATACCCTAAGCACCTCCTTAAGCCCCACAGCTGGGCCGCTCTCCCCACCCTCTGTTCATCCTCAGAAGAAACAGAGGCTGAGTGGAAAAGAGCCCTTGGGGCTAGGGACCTCCCACTCCCACCAAGATACCGCGCGGCTGTTCCCAGAGCCCTAGCGGGGCACGGCTCACCTGGGGTGCAGGTCCACGAGCAGCACGAGCGTCTGCATGGTGATCACGTCGATGCGCTTGCAATGGAAGCGGGCCACCTTGAGCACCTTGAGGTACGTGCAGCAGAGCACGACGAAGGAGAGCAGGAAGCTGAGAGCGTGGAAGGTGCCAGTGAAGACGGCGAAGCGCAGGCGCTCGTCCGGCCGCCGGCTGCACAGCGTGCACGAGGCGTACAGCTGGTGGAAGCCAAGCCAGGACAGGGCGAGCGCAGTGGCTGGGAAGGTGAGCGCGTGCAGCCACGTGTAGGCCACCATGAGCGCCGCGTCGCGGAGGCGCATCTTGGCCCGGTAGCTCAGCGGGAAGACCACGGCCACCCAGCGGTCGATGCTGAGTGCGGCCATGCTGAGCATGGAGTTGGCCGCCAGGAAGGTGTCGAGGAAGGCAGCCAG